TCTCAGCCTCAGTGTTAGAGGCACCTAAGCTTAGGTTAGGATAGCCCCCATCGTGGCAAACGACGAAAACATGATTGGAGGCTGATCAATGGTTGTCTTGGAGCATCGATGATCTGGAGCTCGCGAGAGCATTTCTTTCTGTTGCTTCATGTTGAACAAGCCCAGGTGAGTCTGACACTCTGTTCAGTTCGGCCAGACCAGTAGTCAGACACTTCCGCCTATGTTCCGCCTCAAGTCATAGGCCATCGATTATTTATCGCCACGGAGTTGCTATTGCGATCGGCCCCTGGCGTCGGTCTTGTTCTATCTCAAACGACAAGACTGCAGGTCAAACTCGGCCAACTCTTGCCAATCGAGCCAAGTCCAGACAAGCCTTGTCGTCGTCGTCGTTGTTGTAGGAAGTAAAAAAACTTGACGCGGCTTGAGGGGTTCCTTATGATCTGCCTCGAAGCATCAACTTTCGAATACCAAGTAGGTTGGGCTCCAGAAGCTGGCCGGAATGAATCTGTGTCGTGGTGCTTGTCGCACCTAGGAGGCAAGTTACAGGATACTTGAATTCGATATCCTGGGCGAGTCTTTCGAGTACAAGCAGCCGAACCCGGAGACCATGGCATCCTCTGCCGCAGCTCCTTTCAGATTTCAGGAGGTACATGGATCGCATCGCGCAGGCGAGGCTTTGTTAGTGTACGAAGGCGGTGGTTCAAGGGGAAAAGTCGGTGCGATCCAGACGGCGCTACTGCCTGGTTTGGTCCCTAATCACACAAGACTACTTTTGGCCATCTTCGTCGCGGTCGTTGTCGCACAAGCTGTACCCATGGCGGACAGACTAGATCGGCACGAGAAGGCGATGTATTCGCATGCATGTTGTCTCATCAGCAGCCTGTGATCCCAGCTGCCCACGACTTCTCTCTGCCCTTTGCGCTTCCGTGCCTGCCTGCAGTCAGGTCGATGGCAAGCCAGATATTGCTGTCACCAGCGCGGTTTGTTCGAAACTCTGGAAAGGGTTTTGGGGTAGGTTTGCCAACAGAAGAAGATGATGATGATACCGCGGTCTAGCCAGAGATATTTGCTGTGGTCCTTCTTGAAGGAGACGGATATGTCAACCACTTGATTGATCGCGCCCTGTGAAGATGAACACACATGCCGCCTTGGCCGCTTTGCCCGATTTTCTCTTTGTACATTGCAGTTGCCTTTTGGGCGGAAGGGAGCGGGCAGGGGCAAGATTGTAGATGGGGTCTTCTGGTGGTTCTCCGCGGCGTGAGAGACATGCGGGCAGAGGCTGTGGTAAGGGTGGAGAAACGTGATTTGCTGCCTTCCGTGTTTGCACTGCTTCGTGGATCATTTTGCTTGATCATCCAGGGGAGCTTGCAGAGGAATGGCCTCATGAGTGGCTTGCAGACTACAAAGATGAGTATACACATTGGAGATCTCGGTGTTCTCGTGCCAGGCCTTCGTACAGCGTCGCCTCGTTCGCCCGAGCTGTCGGGGCCGGACAACTCTCCTCAAGGGCGTCGGCATTTCAATTAGCACGACTGTGTCGGCCGATTGGCTCAGCAGCGTTGCAGTCCCACTGTCAGTGAGGCCGGCAAGACATCCGAGGGCCAGGTTATGGTAGGGAGAACTCTAATGAATTACCTGCTCAGGCGTAGTGACTTGGAGTGTCACAAGGATCTGAAGCAGGTGAGGTGAGGTAAGCAGGCAAAAAAGCACAAGCGTCATAACCCTGTCTCTCCCTCCCTGTCACGGCGGCCAAACATGCTGGTCCTATCGTCGTTGGCCCCTCGCAACCCCCCAAACCTTCTCTGTCAATTTCTAAAGGCCCCCCCCCCTACTTTCTTTCTCTACCATCACAGAGTCAAAGCTGTGATTTCTTTCGAAGGCGGCACGCCTGTCTTCTTTGCCTCCTTGTTTCTTTTGACTGGCTAACTCCCACGATTCAGAGCTCTTCGAGCTCAAAAACGACCGTCGCCGTCCCAACGCGACTAAATCATTCCCCCACCCACTGTCCGCAGACAACAATCGCCCACCATGGCGTGGTCCAAGTCGACGCGCATCAGCATTATGCTGGCTATCGATGTCGTCTTCTTCGTTACTGAATTGACCGTCGGACTGCTCGTCAAATCCCTGGCCCTGCTCGCAGACGCCTTTCACATGGTGAGTTCTCTGTCGCAAACCCGATTTTGGGGTGGTTCGCTACCTCGGAGATGGCGCCACTGACCCGATCGGAACCAGCTCAACGACATCATCTCTCTGTGCGTCGGTCTCTGGGCCGTTGCCGTCGCAAGCAAGGCGACCACTGATAAGTACTCCTACGGTGTATGTGCTGCCGCCTCCTCGAGCATGTGCTGGGCCAAACGACTGACCAACGACGCAGTGGCTGCGTGCCGAGATTCTCGGCGCCTTCTTCAACGCCGTCTTCCTGATCGCGCTGTGCGTGTCCATTATTCTCGAGGCCATTTCCCGATTCTTCGACCCTCCCGATATTCAAAACCCTCAGCTCATTCTCATTGTTGGCTCCATTGGTCTCGCGTCCAACCTTGTGGGCTTCCTGGTGCTTGGTGGTCACGGCCACGACCACGGACACGGAGATCATGATCACGATCACGATCACGGCGACGGCGAACACGACCACCACCACTCTCACGAACATGCTGCCGAGGAAGGCCGAGTCACGGTCGCCGACCGCACCAATTATGCCATTGCCAACGATGACGGGCCAGCCATCGATGTTCTGCCCGAGGTCGCCGTCGCCAGGGCCACCGAGGGCGCTACGACCACGCCTCGCCGCATCAGGTTCGACAGCGAGTCCGAGTCTCCCAGCAACCGCGGCCCTAGTAACACCAGGGGTCGCGAGAGGGAGCGCCGCAGGGCCAGCAGTCTGCGCCATTCGCGCCTCACGAGCATCGACGACATCAGCATCTACCCTTCCAGTTTCCGACAGGAGATCATCGACGCCAGCCGGCCCAGGCCCAAGGACATGGACGGAACCACCGACGAGAGCGATGTGGAGGACGGCGCTGTTCAAGATGGCGAGTCTAGCGAGAACACGCCTCTCCTGAGCGACGGCAACGGCAACACAACCTACAAGAGCACTTCGCGCCACCGGTCCTTCAACGGTCGTCCTCGCAGGGACTCGAGCCTGCACTGCGAGCACAACCACAACAAGCCGAAGGACCGCAAGAAGGGGGGAGGTCACGGCCACAGCCACGGTGACCTCGGACTGAACGGTCTGATCCTGCACGTCATCGGCGACGCGCTCGGCAACGTTGGTGTCATGGTTACCGCCCTGATCATCTGGCTGACCGACTGGCCCGGCAAGATGTACGCCGACCCGGCCGTGTCTCTCTTCATCACCCTCATCATCCTCAAGTCGGCGCTGCCCCTGACCTTTGCCACCTCCAAGATTCTGCTCCAGGCCACGCCCGACCACATTGATCTCCAGGACATCCGCGAAGACATTGAGGCTCTGCCCGGCGTCGTGAGTTGCCACCACGTCCACATCTGGCAGCTCTCCGACACCAAGATTGTTGCGTCGATGCACGTCCAAGTCAGCTTCCCCATCTCGGCCGAGGGCGGCGAGAAGTACATGGTCCTGGCCAAACGCGCCCGCAAGTGCCTCCACGCCTACGGCATCCACAGCGCCACGATCCAGCCCGAGTTTCTCTCGAGCGCCGAGAACGCCCTCATCGAGGACACGGCCGCCCTCGCCCTTGACGGCGCAGGAGATCACGTCATTGTCAGGAAGACGTCCTGCCTGCTCGAGTGCGTCGACGACTGCGTCGGCAAAGGCTGCTGCTCCACCGGCACCACCGTCGCCGGCTCCAGCCCCCAGAGCCACCACAGTCACAGCCCCGGCGAGTCGCCGCACAGGCACTAGGACTCCGTGTGGCGCGCGTTTTTCGGGGCGTGGCGGCGATGAAGACGGTCGCGGAACAGAGCCCTCGGCGATCGCGTGAATGTCTGGCGGAGGCAAAGAAGAGAAGGCTCGGGCCAAGAAGTGACGGCTATGTGACGATAAGTGAAAGGGGATCAACCTGGGAGGAAGGCTTCATTACCTCCTTCCTCCCATGCCCAAAATGCCCATT